AAGCTTGCGCACCCCCCCCATTCATTGCCGCGGGCGGGCTGGCGGGCGCGTGCGCGCGGGGGGCGTGGTCGGGGGGCGGGGCCCTCCTCAGCTCCCTGCAGCCGGGGCTTCGGGCGCAGGGAATCTGGGTGTCCTGCGGCACCCGAGGGGCTGTGGGAGCCTCACGCGCGCCCCCTCCACCCATTGCTAGGGTCGCCAACCAGGGACTGAGTGAGGGGCCCAGTCCCGCTTTGTGTCCGCAGCCCGTGAAGCTGGGGCGGGGGAGACGGTTTTGTGACCCCTGTTTTAAGGATGTTTGCTTTTGCATGGAGAAGACCCCCGCCCCGCCCCGGGCCGGGGGCCTCCTGGGCTGGGTCCTAAAGCAGTTTTGAAAGCCTCACTTGACGCTTTGCGGAGAGGTGAACTGAGGCTGAGTTTTCGCAGGGGCAGAGCGAGCGAGCCCAGGGGGCCGCCATGGTCTTACAGAAGCCACAGCAGTCTGGGTGGTGGGATCTGCGTGGAGCGTTTATCCACGTTTCTAAAGCCCGCGCTGTGGTGGAGGACCCCGTAACGCCTGCCTGGCGTTGGACAATCACAGGTGTCGGTAGCATCAGGACTTCAGCCTTTTTTCTTTGTCACCGGTTTTATAAAGCACAAAGGGCAAAGACACTGCATTTTTCATGCTGTCGCTTAGATGCTGCTGTCCCAAGACGGCTGTGCTGGGGGAGTGGAACCAGTGGCTGTGGAGCCACCGGGGCTCGGGAGAGCCTCCCTGGTTTGTAGGCGCCTGCCTGCACGCGGGATGGAAAAGGCAGTGGGGAGTTCAGGTAGAGGATGTCGGGGAGGTTGTGTTACCTGATTTAATGAGTGCACAAGGAGGCAGTTTGGCCTTGATTCTGAGTGGATGGTACTTTTTCTTTCTTTTTTAAAGATTTATTTATTTATTTGAAAGGCAGAGTTACACACAGAGGGAGAGACAGAGAAAGAGAGAGAGAAGTGCATCCACTGGTTTGCTCCCTAAATGACCACAATGGCAGGGCTGGGTCAGGAGCCTGGCACTCCATCTGGGTCTCCCTCATGGGTGGCAGGGGCCCAAGCACTGTGGCCATCTTTCACTAGTTTCCCAGACGGTATTAGGGAGCTTGATAGGACGTAGAGCAGCCTGGATTTGACCAAGAGCTTATATTGGGGCATTGAGGGTGGCAGCTTAATTTAGCCACATAGCACTGTCTTGATGATATGGGGTAAGACAGGTTGATGGATCAGGGCTATACCTCTCCTGCCCTGTGTGATCCTATCTGCCTACCTGTCAGTCAAATAACCCCTTTCCCAAGATATATCTCCCTTTATCTGGAACCTGGAGACAGTACCATGTAACCACTCCCCTTTCTTCTTTGTTGTCATCGTCGTCTTACTATTTTTATAAAAATCAGCTACCGAGCAAGAGAGAGAGAGAGATCTTCTATCCATTAGTTCACTCCCCAGATGGCTGTAAGAGCCAGGGCTTAGCCAGGAGCCAGGAGCTTCTTCCAGGTCTCCCGTGTGGGTACAGGGGCCCAAGCACCTGAGCCATCTTTGGCTGCTTTTCCCAGGCCTCAGCAGAGAGCTGGATCAGAAGTGGAGCAGCCAGTTCACGACCCTGCACTCCTATGGGATGCAAGCCCTGACCAGTACACTGTCTAACCTCCTAAGAGTCTAGAAAGGGGGAGCTCGCTCGCTCGCTCATTGTCTGTCTCTGTAGAGGAGCATGAGATAAGGAGCTGAGGCACCGTTCTGTACCTCCCTCCCCTCCTGACCCACTCTGTTCCTGAGCAGTGCCCAAGTATGTGTATGTTTTCCTTACCCTTTCAATAAACCTTATCACTTTGTGCGTTGTATTTGTGCCTCTACTTAGTATGCTTCTCCAGGTAAAAGGCAAGGACTTGGAATAGGGATTTAGACCCCACCTTGCCCACGACATTGATACCCAATAGCTCCTGGCGCAGTGTGGAAGGGGTGACCCAGTTCCTTTCCCTTGGGAGACAAGCAGTGCATTCAGAGAGGTGGGCTGGCCACAGCAACACACCCAGTGCCTCCCTGTGTCATCCATGGAGCTGCCTCGGGAGAAACCCGCAGGTGCCGTGCGTGCCTCCCTTCCCCCAGCATCTGCAAGCAGCAGTTTCCACCAGGCCAGGCTCACAGAGCTGAGAGGACCCTAAGGGATCCCTAGGTCCAGCATCTTCATTTTACATTTGGGAAACCTGGGTCCAAGGAGACTACAGCTGGGCCAGGGAAAAGCCAGGCCAAGGGCGCCCCAGGGCCCTATGCGCTGAGGGGGCCTTGGGTGTCCCGGAGTTCTGCAGCCCCTAGGCAGTGACCAGGGCACTGTTGTCAATTTCTTTCTTTCTTCTTCTTCTTTTTTTCCTTCTATTTTTATTTACTTGAAAGACAGAGAGGGATCTCTTCCATCCTCTGGTTCACTCCCCAGTTGACCACAACAGCTGGGGCTGGGCCAGGCTGAAGCCAGGAGCCTGGAACTCCATCTGGGTCTCCCATGTGGGTTGCAGTGAACCAAACACACAGTGCTTCCCATCGTGTACACTAGCAGAAAGCTGAAATTGGAAGCGGAGCTGGGACCCACGCCCAGGCATTCTACTATGGGATGCCAGGTGTCCCAGGTGGCATCTTTGACCACTGCACCAAGCACCCGCCCCTTAATTTCTTTTCAGAACACGTACTTTTACCTTTGGATGGTGATGACACACAAGCAAATGACAGCAAGGGGGTCTGTGCTGTGTGTGTGGGGTGTAAGTAAACTCACTGTGACTGTTTTATCGCAGGTTCCACAGCAATAGAAAGATTTATTTATTTGAGAGGCAGAGTTACAGAGAGAGAGAGAGAGAGAGAGAGAGGTTTTTCATTCACTGGTTCACTTCCCAAGTGGCCACAATGGCTAGAGCTGGGCCAATCTGAAGCCAGGAGTCAGGAGCTTCTTCTACTGCTTTTCCCAGGCCATAGCAGAGAGCTGGATCAGAAGTGGAGCAGCCGGGACTCAAACCGGCAACCATGTGAGATGCAGGCTCCACAGGTGGAGGCTTAACCTACGCCACAGCACTGGCCCCAGCTCTGGTTGGGATAAACATTTTTATTTAGTAGATATACATTGCTGGCAAGCTAAAATGGGAAAAATCATTGAAGTAGACTTTTTTTTAAAAGATTTGTTTTATCTATTTGAAAGGAAGAGTTACTAAGAGAGAGAGAGATAAAAAGAGAGAGAGCAGAGAGATCTTCCATCCACTGGTTCATTCCCCAGTGGCTGGGTCTGGGCCAGGCCAACCCAGGAAGCTGGAACTCCATCCTGATCTCCTACTTCATTGGCAGGGCCTAGGAACTTGGGCCGTCCTCTGCTGCTTTCCCAGGCACATTAGCAGGTAGCTGAATCAGAAGTGGAACAACTGGGACTCAAACCGGTGTTCATATGGGAGGCTTAACCCTCTACGCCCTGAGAAGTAGTCTTTTGTGGGGTGAAGTTCAGAGTTACCAAACATTTGATAAAAGAGACCCGAAATAGGGAAATGAGTCCAGGTCACAGGTAGAGCCAGCACCTGTCACCAGTCCTCACTGGCCATACCCTGTACTATGACTCTCAAGCAATCAGTTTTGAAAAGTCATCGTGACAATGGGGGTATCTTCATAAAAACTTTAGGGCTAATTTTCTCTTCATGAAGAAAGTTCAACTTCCATTATTTGCTACAAGCAGACCGAAGTTATTGTTTGGGGAAGTAATGTTTTATATGGCGGTCTGGTGATTGCCAATCAGTGCTCCTTAAATTCTGGAAAATTCCTTTGGTTTCCCTGGTTTGAGTTTTGTTACTAAACAAAGCACGGGCCATGGAGGAAATTACCCTGCATCTGCGTAAAATTAAAAGCCCTTTTTGGTGTTTATTACATCGTAAAAATATCAAAGTCATCTTCTTAAGATAAAAGAAGGTCAAAGAAGCTTCACATTTCTGGAAAGTGCCAGAGAGCCTTAGTCCGAAATAAAACTCCTGTGAGCTGCTTGCT